GTGGAAGTAAAGGATGTGGAATAGGATGGAGCTAGATAGAACTTCTGACTGTGTCACATAACTCTTGGAAGCTGGTTCTCAGCAATAAACATGGAATAATACATCCACCCACGAGGCGATCGTAATGATTTTAAGAAGTGCCTAGCTGGATGCCTGTCACATAATTGCTCAGCAAATACTAGTTTCCTTTTATTTCTTCCATCTACTTTTACATTTAAATATAGTGCTGAGATACGGGAGCTCAATAAATGTTGCTGGATGAGTGAAAGAAAGGTGGGCTGGTGCTCGAAATGTGTTTTTAATAGAATGAGAGAAGCGTCGGCTTCCTGCTCGCATGTCACACCAATTCTAACTTCAGTTCCTCACCTTTGTTTGACCAAATGGAAGTGTCGTAGCATGCTTTTTGGCTGGGTGATATGCTTTAGAACTCTGCTTGGGTGTCACTTATTCTGAGTAACCTTTCACCACTCATTGATTGGCAGTTTCCTCCTCTGTACTGTATCTGCTCTTCATTTCTATCTCATTGCGTTGTAAATGTTTATAATGCACGTGTTATTCCTATATGACCGTCATCTCTTGCAGCCAGTGTGAGTGGTTATATATCTCAGGATTGAGATATATAACCATTGACTAGGGCCTGGCTGCCTGACACATCCCAGGCGATCCATGAGCCCTCAAATTGGTGAGCATAGGGATCATGTCTTCTAATCGGCACCTCCCATGCATGTATGTAATGTGAGAATGGGGATAGTTGATAAGAATTTCAACTGAACTGTGGCTTTGTCATGTGTTAATAGTGTGAATTTAGTCATCTGTTTTCTTAATTGTAATAGTAGTCATGTGCTGTGTAACTGTGCACTGGTCAGGGAGGAAACACATTTACCCTGTGGTCCTATAAGATTATAATGGAGCTGAAAAATTCCTATTGCCCAGTATCAATGTAGCTGTCTCACATTGTAGATGACTGAATGTCCTTGTGCAATGTGTCTGTGGTGATGCTGTTGCAAACAAATCTGTTTATAAACTCTCTCTCCCTCTCTCTCTCTCTCTCTCTCTCTCTTGCCATTGCATCACAGTTGCCTGTAGTCTTCACAGGAATGTGCTGTATGGGTTGTGGCCTGGGAACAACTGGCTTCACCATGTAGCCTAGGTGTGCAGTAGATGGTACTATCCAATTTGTGCAAGTACACTCTATCATGTTCACTCAATAATGACACTGAGATTCACCATTTTCAGTTTGTCCTTGTTGGACTCATGACTATATCTGCACCCAAACTTTTGGGGGTAAATGAATGAATATATGTTAAATTTGTAGAACAAAGTATGGCGCCTAAGAAGTGCATGATAAACATTAGCTAATTGTCTATTAGACCCAGTTTTTAGCAGCTCTGGTTTCAGAGTCAGATACCTTGAATTGGAGTCCTGGTTCTGTTGCTTACTGGCTGTGTGTCCTGAGCTATGTTGACACTTGAGTCTATTTCCTCATTTGCAAAGTGGGAGTAATGATGTCATCATGGGTTAAGGGGAAAACGAACGAGGTGGTCCACAGAAAGTGCTATTGCAGGCATAGTAGAACATGCCTGTAATCCTAGTGACTCTGGAGATTGAGGCAGCAGGACTGCAAGTTCAAGGCTAGCATCAGTAACTTAGACCCTGTTTCAAAAACTAAAAAGGATTGGGGTGTGGCTCAGTGGCAGAGCACATCTGGATTCAATCTCCCCAGGACTGGAGCAGGTTGGGAGTGCTTGTACCGCCTTAGGGAGTGGTGCTGTAGTGGCAGGAGCCAGACCTTAAGGAATCAAGAGGCAGACCAGTCCCTATGCCTGTCTCCCTGTATATTCCCCTGCTTATGCTGGCTAGTGTCTTCCTCACTTCTTCTGACTTATCTTCCTTCTCCTGATACAAAAGCAGATGTGCCTATCAAAGCTCAGCTTTTTTTTTTTTTTTAAGTTCAACCTGAAAAGAGCATCATTTAATAATATTTATTAAAAGTATAAGCACACATATATTTGATGTAGCAATTCATAGGATATATGTCCTATAAACATATTAGCACATTTGCAAAATTATTTTTTAAAAGATTAGTCAGGAACTGGGTGTAGTGGCCCACAGGTGTGATCCCAGATACTTGGGAGGCTGAGGCAGGAGAATGGCAAGTTTGAAGCCAGCCTCAGCAATCTAGCAGGAGCCTGCCGGAAAAATTAAAAATAGGAAAATGACTAAGAATATACTTAGTGGTAGAGCACTTGCCTAGTATGCATGAGGCCCCAGTTCCAATCCCCAGTGGCCCAAAATAGAATAGGGGATTAAAAGATTTTGGTTGCATAGTATTTCATGGTTAGAAGTACCATCATTTGCCAGGTGTGTTGGTGCATGCCTGTAATCCTAGCAGCTTAGGAGGCTGAGATGTGAGGATCAAAAGTTCAAAGCCAGCCTCAGCAATTTAGTGAGGTCCTAAGCAACTTAGTCCCTGTCTCAAAATAAAAAGTTCAGCTTTTTGAATTGTTTTAAAAATGTTAGGAATGGAATGCTGCATTAGGAAGATTTAAGTCCAAGAAGGTGCCTTGTTTTCCTTCACATAGTTGGCACTCTCTAGTTGTCACCTGATGGCACTCACATTATAAAATAAAGCAAGGTCCTTAGAACCAAGCAAATGGTTGGAAGGGAGGCAAATCAGCCTTCAAGTAGCTTTTACTGTCATCTGGAAGAGAGACTGACTTCTGTGGGCTGCTAATTAAGAAACTTTACTAGAGCAGCAGCGGATCACAAATGTTAAGTTCCTAGCTCAGCACCTGGTACAGAGCAGGCAGTTGGGGATGGTGGGTATTGCTCCCCAGGGCTTTCTCCAGAGCCTCCTCACCTGTCCCTGTCTTCCTGGCTTTTTGCCGTGAGGCATCGTAAGTGTGGGCTTGAAGAGAGGATGGAGGCCTTCCTCTAATCTGTCCAGCAAATCCTCCCTATTCCTGAATTTCAGGTTGTTCATCTACATGCTGAGGCTGCTGGGCTAGTGTAGGGGTCTTTATCTGGAGCCCACACATGAACCGAAGGGGGCCCTTGAGCTGCTGAAACAATGGCTCAAATTGTTCATCTGTGCGTGCTGGTCCTATTGACTCCAGTGTGTGTACCGTGGAGACTCTCCAGTGCCTCCACAGGCTACATGTTGTCATACTAGTTACTCAGGCACTGAAGTTTGATAAACATGCTCCTGGTGGTTCACAAAATGATTTAGGTGGTACATGTTTTTTATATGAATGGTTATGTGATTAACCTTAGAAGAAAATTCTGGCACATCAGAACTGACTTTGCATGAATATTATTTGGAGGAGGCTGAGACTGTACTTAAGTCACATTTCCTTAAAATCATACTTAATGAACACTAGTACAAGGGTGGGTGGATGCTTAATTTGAGAAACAATGATTGGCACAACCCCTCCACCTGGCACAGAGGAGAAGAGTCCTCAGAGAAGTGGAGAAGAGGCCACAGAGGAAGTGGGTGGGCCAGCACCCAGTGTTCCTACTCCTCGCAATTCTCGGAGACAAGAGAATTCTCCAAGTCACATTCAAGAACATTCTTCCCATGAAGCCATTATCCTTGAACAGACAGTTTCTGCCTGGGCCACTTTTCCTGAGCTGCCCAGGAAGTGGCTTTATTGCAGGGAACACAGGACATGTTGGGAAAATCTCATCTTCATCCTCAGGTGACCTCAACATGGGAAACCCTTGTTCACGTTTTAATATTCCTGAAATTGGGCTGCAGTTTACAAATGTTTATTGAAGTAGAAAGTTATTTCCTCCCCCCCAAAACTGTTATGAAATGGATAGTAGCTTGGAATTGAGACAATATGATTATTAATTTTTCTCACTAATTTTTCTCCTCCAAAGCAAATTATATTCAAAAGTTGGGACTTCTTTAAAAAAAAATTCACAAACTGAAAGAAAATTTTTCTTTCAGTGAAAAAACCTCTAATACTATCGCTCGTCCACAGCGGAAGTTAGAAGTAAGTCACCAGGACAGATTTGGAGACAGGAACTCAGATACCACTGTCTAAATACTATCCACCTACTCTCTAAAGCCTCCTATCCAAATTTATAAATCCTTGAATTCATCTAGGACCCATATTAGAGGTGTGTCATAGAGAACCTTCTGGAAGTGGCTTTCAAGAACTTATAAGTCTGAATCCTCAACTGGCGGGAAGGATGAACCAGTCTCCTGTTTCCAGGGGACTTCCTTTGCTTTGATGTCATAGCTTCTTTCTCCGTGTCCCAGTTCCTGTAGGGAGACAGCCCTTGGGACTACTTTTCCAGATGGTGAGCTTGAAATGCGTTAGAGGCTCTTTACCAGACTTCACAAGTCAGCATCTTTATTGGCCCATTTTTTTTTTTTTTTGGTTCTAGGTACAATGGAGATTTATGGTATCCAAAACCAGGAGGGAGAGGGGAGGGGGCTGTTAAGGAGACAAACCCACCCAACACAGACCAGCCTTTCTCAGGGAGCCAGGGTAGTGCCTGGCTTCCAGCCTACTGCTTCATTTAGAAGACCAGACACTAAGCAACCAGGACGAGGCCTTTAGAAGCCAACGGAATAAATAAAGCTGGAAAAGGCTGAGGGGAGAAAGCCAGCGAATGTGTAAGTAGAGGATTCTGTAGAGTCACTGGAAAGGACAAAAAGGAAGAGACACAAAGCAGCAGCTGGATCGGGCCCCGCACGGCCTTGCCAAGCCAACTCTGAGAGCGCTGTGTAGAAAGTGTTCTTTTTGTGCCCCGCAGCATTCACGGGGTTTCCTGGTTGGATTCTCGGGCTGTTTCTATGGCGCTTAGAAAAAGAGGTGGTGCAGTGTCCCTGCCCTTCTCATTCTGCATCCTCTTCTCAGCCTTGTGAAATAAATCTCTGGTGCAAAGGAAACTGTTAAAAAAAGAAGCTGATGGAAGGGAAGAGGAGATTCTGACCAGTTCTGACTTTTGCACAAAATAAAGAGAGTGTCTCTAAGAGTAAACGGTGTTTTATTTTTTTTTTTCAATCAAATGGAATTGCTTAATTAAAAAAAAAAACTTCTCTTTTTTTCCTTAAATACTACAGACAACCTCATTTTATCGCAGCAGACACCTAGAAACAAAACACTGGACCCACCAGAGAAAACTGGGCAATAAAAGCATCAGAATTCAAGTCAACTATGGAAGAATTACTGTTAGCTGGCAGCTCTCAACTCTAAATAGAAGTGGCCCCAAGTCTATTGGGTTTGACAAGTTTCTCAGAACTGGGGAGTTGGGAAAGTTGGACTCTTTTTAAAATTCTATTCCAATTGTTTTTAAGCACAGGGAAATTAAAGTCAATGCATCAAATGAAGACCCAAAGAAACATTTAAAAACTTGTTGGACTAGTATTCAGTATGTGAGATTAAGTAATAACCTGTCCACCTAGTTAACCTTGTCCTGGAATATATATAGGTTATTTGTAGCCGCCACTGCTATAATATTTTCTGAAGGATGCCAAGCTGTATGCAAGATCTTTTTGCTAAAGTCCAGACTGTCGACACTGATCTCGTCTTTTCTCCGCTTTCCCCCCACGCACACTTTTCTGGGCTTGAGTATAGCCCGAGGTTTGCTGTTTTCCCTCGAGGCCTCAAGGGTCACATCACGCTTGGTGTTGCGGTCAAACATCCTGAAGAAGTTGTTGTAGGAGCCTGTCATGATGACACTGCAAGATAGAGAGGAAAGGGGGGGATGACTGGGTGTTACAGTGAAAGTAAGCAAATGATACTGCATCATAACCAGCTTATGGCACTATAGGTTTTATTAAAGATGTGGGGGGGAAGGACCTTTTTCTTTTTCTTTGGTACCAGGGATTGAACTCGGGGGCACTCGACCACTGAGCCACATCCCCAGTCCTGTTTTGTATTTAGAGACAGGACCTCACTGAGTTGCTGAGACTGGCTTTGAACTTATGATCCTCCTCCCTTGGCTTCCTGAGCCACTGGAATTACAGGTATGTACCACCATGTCCGGCAAAAAAAAGAAAAATCTTAATTGTGTGACCATGGACTTCCTTTTGAATTACTAATGGTGATAACCCTTCTTGTTATTTACTTTTGTTCTATAGATTCCTTTTGATTCTTTGGTCTACCTAAATGAGTCTAGTTATTATGATCTGAGCCCTACTTCTCTCCTATCAGGATTAGGAGACTCAAGTGGGGTCGTGTAAGTAGAAACACTTTTGAAAACAACAAATTGTACTTATTTAAAGAACAGCTGCTGTTGGAGTATTCCTCAGACTGTTTGACCTGTAGGGCTTCATTACGTCTACCTGGTAAGAAAAATGCTGAGAGACAGCACCATGATTACAGGGTGGCCTAACCGCTTCTGTGAACCAGATCTTAATTCAACCTTTTTAGAAATATTGCCTATAAAATGGATGTCATTGTGGTCTTATTCAGGAAGAGAGTAAATAAGTTTTAAAAGGATTTGGAATGGACAAATAAGATTTTAGGGGGCTGGCTGGGATTGTGGCTCAGCAGTAGAGTGCTCGCCTACCACGGGTGGGACCCGGGTTTGATCCTCAGCACCAAAAAAAAAAAAAAAAAAAATTTAGAACAGCTGGTCAGGGGGTTTCTACATTTTTACAAGTGTTTTCCATTCTTGGGGACATCTACAATTGACCAGAAGAGCAGTGAGTCCCTACAGTCTTCCAGTAGCAAGGTGTAGAATATTAAATGGTGACTTTTTAGACAGGGCAACAGGCCAGGAAGAGACTGCAAGTGCTCAAACAGAATTGGCCCAAGTCTACTGGGTTCGACAATTTTCTCACAACTGGGGAGTTGGGAAAGTTGGACTCTTTAAATTCTGCTCCAATTGTTTTTAGCACAGGGAAATTAGAGTCAATACATCAAATGAAGACCCAAAGAAACATTTGAAAACCTGTTGGACTAGCATTCAGTATGTGAGGGGTGGTACCCGAGAGGCTGGTGAGAACTTGCTTCAGGACTGGGAGGAGAGCCCAGCCTCATCTCTTTTTTGCATGATTTGAGCAGTGTCACAGAGGTGAAAGGAAAAGCTAACAAGACTAGCCACAGCAAGGTGGGGTGTACTTTGTCAGCTGTGCAAATTAAAGGTTGGATTTTCTTCTTCTGGTCTAAGAAACTGACGCTATGAATGGTTTCTCTCTGTGCTAGAGTGAACTGCGGTGACCTTGTCACACAGGGTGCTGGGGCTCTACCTCCACCATCTCATTTCAACTTCCATGAGCCCATGAAAGGGAGATGTGGAGAGGTAAGTAATTTGCACAGTCACAGTCCTAGTAGGTGACAGGGTCAGGCCTCAAACTTGCATGTGCACTGGTCTCCAGGGTGTAAGCCCTCAGCCACTTGGGCTCACTGCGTCTTGGGCATTGATGTTCATGTCCCCCATCATGACCTGGCTGGTTTTTAGACAAGTCAGAGAAAGTCTTTGGAAAATGTCTTAATCTTATTTGGACCCAAAACAAAATTTCCTAGTTGTGATGTTACAGAGGAGATGTTATTTTTAGGATTCAAATTCAAAACTTCTTTGGTATTTACCATGTACTAGTTTGTGAGGTTGGGCAGGCTACTCTTTATGTCATCAAGCCTCAGTTTCTGCAGTTGTAAAATGGGGACAATGAAAGCAACCTTGTTGGACTGTGGTTGGAATTAAATGGTGTGTGGGAAAGTGCCCAGTAGTAGGTGCTTAATAAGTGTTGTTGTTGAAGCTAGCCTAAGATAGGGGGAAAATCGTGGAATGATTATTAGAAGATATTGTTAATATCTTATTATGAATAAATACAGGAAAATAACAGGGCTGGCTTCTCTGCCCTGGGGGGCTTTTGTTCACATGTCACAGTTGCTTTGCTCTCTGGCCTGTATTAACTGGACTGACTGGAGTCCTTTGCTACGTGGTGACTCCTTTTCGACCTGCTAAGCAGGGGGTTCATTTTGGGTCAGTGGCAAAGAAAGCTAAAGAACAATCGAGAGAGGCGGCTTGTGCTCTCTAAAGCTTAATGCTCGAGTGTCTTGCCATGAAGGATTCCCGTGCTGCCAAACACTATTACCAGTGCCACCTTCATCAGGGAACTAAGCCAGCCCCCAGTTGCCTGCATCTAGTTCTCATGGAAGCTGGAGACTCATCTGTATCTGTCAAACTAAAAATGAACTATTGGGAGGTAATATGAAGTATTGGTGAAATCAAAGGCCTTAAAACAGTAATAAATCACTTGGAGGGAATGTGATAAATGAGCTTGAGGAGAATCAGCTAATGAACCACCAGGGCCTCCGGTCAGGTCCATACTAGCAGCTTGGAGAGTTTTTGATCTAGAAAGCTCATTTGGTAGTACTTGGAACTATTCAGGCTGGGATTTGCTGTTGAATTCTTTGTGGTCTTTGTTAGGCATGTTGACCCAGCTCTGGGAGTGTCTGGTGTGTCAAAGACAGGACTTTCTTGAATTGTCACCTGAGTCAGTCCCCAAAAGGACCCTGGGTCTCCTTCCTTTGCAGGCCTGATCTCAGGGTCCATCCAGTGACCCACAGAATGCATCCTAGCTGGACCCTGAGGCCCAATTTTGACCCCCATTTGGCTTCACCCCACTTAGGATTAATTTCCAAGAGCCTCCTCTCTTACCTGTCTGACCCATTCCACACACACTCGAATTTATCAAAAATGCAGTCGTTTTCGTAGAGGGAGCACAACTTGCTGCGGAGGTAGTCATGAACCTGAGAGGAGACACCAAAGTCAGCCATCATCGTAAAAGGTGAGTGTCCCTGTGAACACTGCCCCTTCTGACATGAGCCATTTGTCCTCTCTCTACCTGTGCCTCGAATCAGATGGCCCTGGATCTGATCAGGCTTGGCCCTTCCTGACTGTGGGATGTTAGGGTGGGTTTGTGAGCTCCTCAGGTGGCCAGTGTGGATGAAACAGCTGGTTTGTGTAGAAAGTGGGATAGATCAGGGCCCAGCGAGTCCCATTTTCTAAGCTGCTTTGTTCATGGACGTTGGAGGACACCCTTCATCCAGGCTTTTGTTCAACAAATTTTTATTGACTCTTTGCTGTGGGCCTGGGATATAGCAGTAAATGAAATACCCTCATGGTGACTGCAGCCCAACGTTGGGGGCAAGACTGTACAACCAAGTAAATACCTAAGATGGTTTAAGTGGGGCTAAAATTGTAGCACAAAAGAACATAGAGAAGGGTATTTTTTTCTGTAGGGTGAGTAGTCAAGGCTTAACTTGACAGTATTGGAACAGAAGCTTGTGGGGAAGGGCTTTCTAGAAGCATAGAGAACAGCATATGGAAAGGACCAGAGGCCGAGGTTGGCAAGTAAGCAGATGGCCTGAAGTCTGAGCGAGGTGAAGAGACATCACAGAATGGATCACTGAGCTTATGTGGTAATACAGAGGTAAGGGTGAAAGGACCTGGCTGTGACAGGTGATGGCTTGGACCAGGGAACGTATTGGTAGGAAGTGGTTAAATTCTATATGGGGTTAGAAGGAAAGCTGATAGGATTTGGGTTAACTCAGGTGTGGTGAGAGAATCGGGAGTCAAAGATGGCGCCATCAGCCATTATGAAGTCAAACAACAACAAGTGCTGGCGAGGATGTGGGGAAAAGGGTACACTTGTACATTGCTGGTGGGACTGCAAATTGGTGCAGCCAATTTGGAAAGCAGTATGGAGATTTCTTGGAAAGCTGGGAATGGAGCCACCATTTGACCCAGCTATTCCCCTTCTCGGTCTATTCCCTAAAGACCTAAAAAGAGCATGCTACAGGGACACTGCTACATCGATGTTCATAGCAGCACAATTCACAATAGCAAGACTGTGGAACCAACCTAGATGCCCTTCAATAGATGAATGGATAAAAAAAATGTGGCATTTATACACAATGGAGTATTACTCTGCATTAAAAAATGACAAAATCATAGAATTTACAGGGAAATGGATGGCATTAGAGCAGATTATGCTAAGTGAAGCTAGCCAATCCCTAAAAAACAAATGCCAAATGTCTTCTTTGATATAAGGAGAGTAACTAAGAACAGAGTAGGGTCGAAGAGCATGAGAAGAAGATTAACATTAAACAGGGATGAGAGGTGGGAGGGAAAGGGAGAGAGAAGGGAAATTGCATGGAAATGGAAGGAGACCCTCAGAGTTATACAAAAGTACATACAAGAGGAAGTGAGGGGAAAGGGAAAAATAATACAAGGGGGACAAATGAATGTCAGTAGAGGGGGCAGAGAGAGGGGAGGGGAGGGGGGATAGTAGAGGATAGGAAAGGCAGCAGAACACAACAGACACTAGTATGGCAATATGTAAATCAATGGATGTGTAACTGATGTGATTCTGCAATCTGTATATGGGGTAAAAATGGGAGCTCATAACCCACTTGAATCAAAGTGTGAAATATGATATATCAAGAACTATGTAATGTTTTGAACAGCCAACAATAAAAAAAAAAAAAAAAAAAAAAAGATGGCGCCAGGCTGTTCTGAACGAGTGGAAGGATGGAAGCTCCACGATCATTCCTGAGCGGCATAATCTGGAGCTGTTGGGTAGAGATGAGGGGAAAGATGTAGTGTTCTCCTGAGGTGAAAGCATTAGCACAGTTATCATCTGAGACTGAGCACAGGTGTGACACTGTAGGACTTCTGGAAGGCACAGGGGCACCTGAAGTTGTGGAATGTGAATTTCAGATGAGACTGGTCAGCACAGTTGGGTACTTTCCTCCAGTTACACCCATCAACTTGGATGTTGAGGCAAATAGGCAGATGAATAGGGCTCAGAGGGTGATAACTTGAGCTCATTTTTAGAGTGATTTTCCTGAACATGAGCAGCAAGTCGTAGTAATAACAGGTAGACGCAATATGCTAACTGGTTGTTTTTGCCCAAGTACTTCATTTATTAAAAAAAAAAAAAAAAACAACCCTCTTTTTGTCTCTAAAACCCTCTTCTGATATAGAATTATTCTCTTTACTTTCATGGAACATGAAGCACAGGGATGAAATATTATTTGTCCAAGATCACACAGGAGAGAAAATGACAGAATGGCAACTGGACCTTGTATTTGGGTTCTGAATTGCACATCTCTGAACTACCATAGCAATCTGCCTCCTGCTTTCCCTGTCTCATCAACCTAACCTTATGTGGGGGTCTGAGTCCTAGAAGGAGCCACAGTAATGAAGTCAAGGGTGGGGGGGGCAGAATTGGGAGGAGGCAGAAGGATATCAAGGTCATTGTTTAGCTCCAGAGTGATGACTCAGTCTTTTTTTCCTTGTCTCTTGACCCCAAGAGTTCTGTGGGACGCTGAGCCTGGAGGCTCCATTGTGTGTTTAGTCTCGGCAAAGGAATGAGGTCAAACTCATCCTGCGTTCCATTAGTTGTTTTGGGTATTTGACAAGCTCTCTGAGTTATTTGGCCAGTGTAAGTAGTTCTAACCCTACCAATTAATTGCTCTCCCTTCACTGTCTCATTCTCAAACAATTCCAGGCTACATCAGGGCAACAGCTTCAGTGTTATGGTGACAAGTGAGTCCATCTGCACCAGGGTTTCTGGCAGTGCTAGATGCTTTGGGGGAATGCAAGGCTTGAGTCCTGTCCTTTTGAGGTATCCCTCCTGCAAATTAACCCACCTCCTTCAGGGGGCAGAGTAGTCAAAGTGTAGAGATAGGCTAGTAGTGTCTTTAAAAGATTTGCCCTCCTTGTAAACCTTTCCAGACCTCTTACCATTTCCTTTGGCTTTTTGTCATAACACCACGGAAGAGTAGTAAGTGTTAAAAAAAAAAAATACCTGCTTTGGAAGTGTGGGCCCATTAGTAGGAACCACACTGCTGAGAACTCTATAAAGACTTCCTAACTTCTATCTTTCAAGAATTATTTCAAGGTAAAATCTAATCTGAACCATTATTTTTCTTCCACAGCATATAAAGTCTGGAGAACTCCTGCCTGCCTCCAGTTAGAGCACTTAAAGAACAGCTATGAAGAAGGTATGTTGTTTAAAAAATTCATATTAAGCAAATCAGAGGATCTTTCTCCACCAGAAAAGAAAATAAGATACATGAGAAACATCTAGAGCCTAGCAAGAAAACTAAAAACCCCTACAATCTAATGCTTCTTTCTTCATGTTCCTATTACTGTTTGTTTGGGCTTCCTGAAGGTTGGCTGAAGCTCCCACCCTCCGGGTAAGTTCTTTATTCTTGTGCCTAGTGAGCAGATTGAATACAGGCTCCCACAGTTTTCAGTGAAGTGCCGGCTGCAAGTTGAGTATCCCTTATCCAAAATGCTTGGGGGTGCTGGGGTTGTGGCTCAGTGGTAGAGCACTTGCCTAGCACGTGGGAGGTGCTAGGGTCAATCCTCAGCACCACACTGAAAAATAAGTAAATAAAGGTATTGTGTCCAAGTATAACTAAAATGTATATATGATAGATGCATATCTATAAAATGCTTGTGATCAGAAGTGTTTTAGCGTTTGGAATATTTGCATGTACATAGTAAAGTTTCTTAGGGATAGGACCCAATTAGAATTCATTTACATACACCTAATACACATAGCCTGAAGGTAATTTTGTGCATGACAGTTTGGTACATGAGACCAGATATGGGGTTTTTCCATTTTTGACATGTTGGTGCATTTTGAATTAGGGATACTTAACTTAGGCTTTAAGGGCCGTGTGGCATGATACTAGCCACAAAACTGTAAACAATTGTGGCTGTTTCAAATATTATTGGCGGGGTTGGATTTGGCTCACAAGCCAGTTTGCCAAACCCTGTCCTAAACTTAATCATACTTCAGTTGACAGCTTATTGGTGGAAACATGCTTGAGCTCTATTAATGCATGTATAAAGTACACAGTGAGAGCATTACCAGTCTTCCTGCTCAGGGCCAGGTCTTTCCCTGTTTCTCCCAATCTTTCTTCTTTTCCTGGTACTGGGATTGAACTCAGGGACACTCAGACACTGAACCACATCCCCATTTTTGTATTTAGAGACAGGGTTGTTCAGCACCTCAATTTTGCTGAGCCTGGCTTTGAACTCATGATCTTCTTGCCTCAGCCTCCTGAGCTGCTGGGATTACAGGTGTGTGCTACCACGCCTGGCTTCCTATCTTTTTCAACACTGTTCTAGAAACTCACTGAAGCAGTTTTTACATCTTTTTTTTAGTGGGTGCAACATAATTGTACACAATAGTGGGATTCATTATGCTATATTCATACATGCATCTAACATAACCTGGTCAATCTCCTTCCCCTGACCTGTTTTTTACTGTTCATCTTTGATATAACATGAACTCAGTTAACTCACTTTGAGACATACCATTCTGAGTTAAGATGTTGCAAGCCATGTGCTATGATACCTATTTCTTGGTTTTCTGCAAAGATGTTTCCAAGCTTATCAGCTCAACACGGCTTCAGAACCAGGGACTTTAAATGCTGATTACTTCACATCACAGCCTGCTAACTCTGTTCGCAAACTAGCTTTGTTCTAAAAGCCTTCTCCTAAAATAAAGGTACTAATTGCTTTTGCCACCCTGGGTCCGGAATCTCTTTTCTCAAAAGCTCTCCAGCAGGCTGCCTCACTACGAATACCACCCCAAACCAGGCTCCAGTGCCCTCTCCTTTGTACTGAGGGTTCTAGCACCATATAGTTTGTCTTACGCAGCTATAAGAGGACTCTACTATTGACCCTTCCCCTGGGCTAAAAACAAAAGGCTGTGACAGGGAGGTGA